AGTATAGGACTTGTGTGACCCTCAGAGGACGTCCCTATTTTGTGACCTGGGCTTTTCATATGGGTCACCCTCATCCTGGTCGCTGCCTTCCCTGCTAGAGGCTTTAAAGTTTAGTTTTTATAAAGACAAAAATGTGTAGAAATGAAATGATGGGGTGGGGTAACTGCTGCACTCCCATAAAACCTTATTTTCTGTTGCCACATACGGTGGCTTTTGATCTGAAAACCAAGACAGTAGTAGTCGCTTACGTCAGAAAAACACCCCTTAAAGTCAAAGGTTCACTCAGCTGATGAAGCAGATTCTAGTTAAGTGTTCACTGGCTTTTGCCTTTAGAAACCATGATTCTCGCTGTCCCCCAGGGTGGTTGCACTAAAATAGGGTTGTTTCAACTGAACGGCTGTAACCTTGAAGCAAGTGTTCTTTGTATAAAATCTGAAGGTTAAAAAGAAAGGGAAATGGGATTTGAAGACAGGTTGCTCAGTTTCCTTTAGCAATGAACTGCAGGCAGAAGCTCTTCCAGGTAGTATTACACACCTGCTCCCCTCACAGCCTTGGAGAGGATCTCGGAGCGTCGGCTTTCTGCTTCCTGCACTCCGGGTCCCCGGAGTCCCTTCTGAACCTGGCCCCCGTCCTCCTGGCTCATCATGTGATCTCTTGCAGAACATCTCGTCCAACGTGCTGGAGGAATCTGCGGTCTCCGATGACACCCTGTCACCCGACGAGGACGGAGTGTGCTCTGGCCGGTACTTCACGGAGAGCGGCCTGGTGGGCCTCCTGGAGCAGGCCGCAGAGCTCTTCAGCACGGTCAGTGGCCAGAGGCGTCCCGGGGCTGAACTCCAGCTGCCAAGAATGTTCAGCCTGAACAGCCCAGCTAGCCCACTCCACACATGCTTTGGGTGTGCAGGGCCGGGCAAGGGCCCGGGAGGACTTGGATGTCCACACATTGCATCACCTCTCCACGGCAGATGAGAGGCCTTTCATCGCAAATGCTCTGGTCTTCAGTGCATGCTCATTGGCTGGGTAGCAGTTTCACAGTGTTATTTCCATTTAATGGGGTGGAAACTAAGCCACGGAGAGGTGAAATGGCTTGCCCAGGGTTACCGATAACTGATGAGGTAGGGTCTCACTCCCTTATTTTGAACAGGGAGGAGCCACTGGGAAGAGAGGGCAGGAATCCGCAATGTCTTCCCTGCAAGCTCTGAGTTATCTGCAGAATCTATACAGACAGGACCAACTAGAGAAATGGGGTGGAAAAATCACTGAGACTTCTCCTGTCCACCTAATCTCAGTCTAAATACTCCTAATAAGAGAAAAAATGTATATTGATGACCTCACTGAGATTCAGGGTGAGGGAAAAGCTTCTCATCAGTTTTCATTTTAATCATCTCTTTTTCTCTACATTGTAACCAAATAAAGATTTAATACTACACTTTATTTAGTAGACTAATTTCATTTTCATTCCTATATTATTATTCATTGTCTACTTTTCACTTCCAAGTTTTCTCCTTATAACATCTATTAATTTAATTATTATTTTACCCATCTTCTCTTTTTTTTTTCTTCTTGTTCTTTCAGGATTCGGAGAAGTTGCAGTGTACTCTTGTTTCCCTGAAATTCTAGAAATTAAATTAGAATTCTGTTAACTCTCTTGACATACATGGTGAACATTAGGCTAGAGGAAGACCTCTGATGAGATTTAAATACACAAAAGCTGTCTTGCTAAATATTCTTGGTCCATGGCTGTACTACCCTGAATGCCTCCGATCTCATCTGATCTCAGAAGCTAAGCAGGGTCAGGCCTGTTTGGATAGGAGACATCTAAATGTTCTTAGTCCCTGCTCCCAGAACTAACCTCCTGGTTTTTTGTTTTATTCAGCTTTTTCTATATGAATCTTGCTTCCTGTTCAGCATCACCATACAGAACCATTTAGCAATGGGTCTGGTTCAGTCTGAAAGCTGCAAGAGTCCCAGAGATGCTTGGACAGCGTGCATATGTCATAAAATCCTGTGGCAGAACAGTACCTTCGCTCTCTAGCACATGGCTTTCATAGTAAACTCTGGTTGCTCTTCTTACACATCCAGTGATCTAAAGTCTCTTTGATTCTCTTCTCTGTCCCAGGGAGGATTGTACGAGATGGTCAATGAGGTCTACAAGCTGGTCATCCCCATTCTGGAAGCGCATCGAGACTTCCGGAAGCTGACCTCCACTCATGACAAGCTGCAGAAGGCCTTTGACAACATCATTAACAAGGTAGCTGGAGATTCTGGCTAAGGGGCACTGTCCCCTGGAGGCAGGCGACCCTGTCCCGGGGTTGGCCAGCCCTCCCTGCTCTCTGCACACTGCCTTACCTGGAGCACATCATTACTCTAACTCTCACCCATCAAAGAGAAAAGGGCTGGAGATCGACAGAGGCCCAGAATTCAGAGTGTGAGTGAAGGCAGCCTGATTCACTTTATAGTCAGGAAGTGTGAGACTCTTTTAAATTACTGTAAGTGAAATCCCAGAAATCTTTCCTGGGATTTCTTTTGTTACTATTTCTAAAGTTTATTCTATAAACATTAAATTTGTTTACATCATCTGTAGGATTAAAATGCTTTAGACATAATAAAAAGTCATTTTAACCCAATAAATCTTTGGGAGTTACATAAATAAAGAAAGGTTTTCTTCTTTTGTTTAACAGGATCATAAGAGAATGTTTGGAACTTATTTCCGAGTTGGTTTCTATGGATCCAAATTTGGGGATTTGGATGAACAAGAATTTGTTTACAAGGAGCCTGCAATTACAAAGCTTCCTGAGATCTCCCATAGACTAGAGGTAAGGAAAGTAATCTGTGTGCTTGACATTGTGCACTTCACAAAAACGAGTTAGAGTGAGTCATTACAAAAAAACTCATGAATTCAGCGTTGGACTCTATATAAATTTTTGTACGTTGCACATATAACAGGGAAGTATTAGGTGAGAACCTGAGGTAAAGCAGGATTGAATAATATTTCTCTAAAATACTGCATATGTTTTCAAAGTTTTAAATCTACATTATGAATATTCCTTTTAAATCTATATAAAATTCAATCAGTGTCACATGCTTTCTTATAACCCTTTCTAAATATATACTAGTAGGTATAGCATGAGCGAGTTTTGTTGGCTTGAAGGTTATCATCTTGACTTTGAAGTAATCTGGCCAAACTACTCAGTCACCTCCCTAGAAAGTGGCACGCCTGTCCTTTGTGTGTCACACATTCTTTTGTGATATGGAAATGCTTGACAGCTACATGTGGACTGTGTCCAGCCTCTACTCCAGCCCACCCTCCTCAGGAGGGACTTTGGTCCCTAAAGTCACAGCAAAGAGCAAAATGTTTTCAAATGTTTTTACAGGACAGGCTGAAAGGATGGAAAAAAAAGAAACAGCATTGAGAAAAAAGCAATAGATGTTGAAAGGATCAAGCCCTAAGAACTCAGGAAAAAAAAAATCAAGGGATGCCCCTAAAATAAAACCTTCTCAGGCTGAGTGACCGGGCCCAGAGCTCCTGACCACAATTAACCAGACTCCTTCCTTATGCTTTCTTGTGATTGCTTTGCATGGATGTTGTCTTACGACTGTAATACTGAAGACGTTTTGTTGTCTTAATTTCCCTTGAGCTGTTCAGCCCTTCCCAATAAGACAGGTGACTTTTATCCTTTCTTGACTCACAGAAGTCATGGCCCAGAGTGGTTGGGTGACTTTCCCCAAAGACATTCAGTTCATGAGAAGGGAAAGTGGCCATTGGTTCCCTTGGAATCAGAGGTGTGTGCTTTTTGAGCTCATATCCTGCACTCTGCCACATTACAGGAAGGCTGGTTACCTCTAAGTTCCCAGAGTACCAAAAGCCAAAAGCAAATAGTGCTGTACCCCTGAAGGTGTCACAGGAAATATGATGACTTTCATTGAATTGCAGACCTAGCACACCTGTCATAGGGAAGTATAGGTCAGTTGACAGGGTAGGATTTCCTTGTATTTTTGTTTATGTCTCAGGAAATGCTGAACTTTGCTAATTAGGTTAGAGGGATACTCAAATAATCGAACAAATTTTATCTTCCACTTGTTCCAAACTTATTTTACTTCTGAGAAGACAAAGAGTTCCATTGTGTTAAAATAACCTTTAAAAACTGTTGGTTTCTCTTATCTAGGGATTTTATGGTCAGTGTTTTGGTACAGAATTTGTGGAAGTGATAAAAGACTCTGCCCCTGTGGACAAAACCAAGTTGGACCCTAACAAGGTATGTAGAAAATTTGCTGAAAATAACCGTCAGGCTCTGGATGCCCTGTTCTGCCCAAGGTGTCCTCCTCTACCAGAACTTTCCAACTCATTCAGATGCTACCAAACCTTTTTGTCTAGGGTTCAACTACTGGTTGTGTAAGTCTTAAAACATACTAAAAGGCAAGAATCAAGAGAACCAACTGTGTATGTGGCATTGTGTTAGACTCTGTCTGAATATCATTTTGTCCCCCAATAGACCTCAGAAATAGGGTTTGTTTTTTTCTTCCTGTTTTACAAATGAGAAAACTGAGGCATAGAAAAGTTGAGCAACTTCACAAGATTGTGCAAGTGGCAGAGCTGGTATTCCAGTGAAGAGTCTGTCCTCCCCAAACCCATACTCTTAATCACTACCCTTTATTGGCCATCTGTAAAGCTTTAAACTCTCAATTTAAAACATGCTTTAAAGTGTCAGGCCAGGCATGGTGGCACACACTTGTACTCCCAGCACTGGGGAGGCTGAGGCAGGCGACTGCCACAAGTGCAAGACAGGCTACGTTACATAGCTAGTTCAAGGGCAGCCTGAACTACTTAACAAGACTCTGTCTCAAAAAAATCTTTTTAAAGTTTAAAAATGTTTTTTGAATGCCACCTTCTCACAACAGTAGTTAGTGGTACCCTTCTTTAGGCTGCCCATGTTCCTTTCAACCAAGTGCAAGATAGGTGCTATTGGAGGAAGACCCACAAGGGCTTGGGCTTCAGTTTTCTCAGTCTCACCGCAGACGTGTTCCATTTCACCCCAACTGGGGGCTCTTCGACTCACCAGGGAGATGCAGACTTAGCACCAGACTCCGTGTCGTATTCCTCACGTCAAAGGCTCAGTCCTCCATAACACTGTCTCAGGCAGGGCTCCCGGGCCACCCTTCCTTCTAACTAGCTGGCTACACATGTAGGAGTTCCCGTAATACCGCTCAGGTTAAATAGTTTACTAGACTGACTCACAGAACCCAAAAAGGTGCGGTACTTCTGATTACGGTTACATGACGGGGGATTTGTGTGTTCACCAGCTGAGAAGTTCCTCCGAGCCTCGGAGCACCCAGAATTTTAAGTAGGATTTCATTACGCAGGCATAATTGACTGAATCAGTGGTCACCTAAGTAAACACAAACTTAGCCCTTCTCCCTTCTCAGGTCTTCTTGGTGAGCCCCTGAAGCTATCTGGTGCCCACAAGGCGTCATCTCCTTAGCGTAACAAAGTCGTTCCTGTCACTTAGGAAATTTCAAGAGTTTCTGAAGCCCTATGCCAGCAAACAGGGCCAGGGGTGCTACCTGCTCAGTCTACTTCGCAGACAGTTGCAGGATGACATTCTAGACTGCTGGAAATAATGTAAACGTCAGGTATTAGTCAGGGCCAAGGACTGGGGACTATTCATCATCGGACTGACCTGTAAAATGAAAAGTCCGGACTCTCCTCTCCATTCCATCTTCCAGGATATTATGAAGATGATGCAAATAGGGAGGAATTGGCCACAATTAAATTTGGTTTTCTACATTTTTCAGACCACTTGCTCATTGAAGATATATTCCCTAGGCTAGGCTTGCAAGCAACAACCATGGTAAGAGTTGACCTGAGTCAGAGAGAAAGGTCTGAACTGCTGGGCAGGTGGCTGCGTGCCCGCGGATATCTGTGCCTCGCACAAGCTGTGCAGAATCATGTGACCTCCCTGACACCAGGGACACTTCTCCCGTCTCTTAAAATTCTCCACATTGGGTGTGAGAGCTCGGAATGAGAGTCTGAGCCCAGAATTACAGCCAGATTTCATGATACCAAGTAGCGATTTATGTTCTGAGCCCAGTGACTCCACCCGTCCACCTCACTGGGAGAGTGTCCAGCATCTTTGCTGAAGAACTGCCGTTCTTCTTCATTATTTTTTAAAGGAATCCTCTTCATTACTAACTGCCCTTTTCTCATTGTATATATGTGTGCATGTTTAAGGGAGGCATATGTGATGAAATCCAGGGGCTTAGTGTTTAGTTCTGTGAGTTTTGACAGATGCCTGTGCCTGCCACCACAGTGAAGATGTGTTAAGTTCCACAGGAACGCCCCACTCCCCTTTGGGCTCCTAATCACTGATCTGCATTCTACTCTGGGTTGTCCTTTTCCAGAAAGTGTATACTTGGGATCATACAGTACCTAATGGAGCCACACAGCCTCCTGAGGCTGGCTTCTTTCACTTAGCATAACCCCTCTGAGGTTGACCCATGTTTAGTAATGTGTTCCTTTGATAACCGAGTAGCGTTCCATTGTGTGAATGTGCCACTATTTATTTAGCCCTTCGCTGTAATACATAATGTTTCTGTGTGTGAATGTAAGTTTTCATTTCCCTTAGGTACACACATAGGAGTGGGGTTGCCTGGTTGTAGGTCAGTGTTGTTTAACTTAGTAAGAAGCTGCCAACTTGTAAAAAGTGGCTGTACATTTTACACATCTGTGTCCTGTGTGAAAGCTCAGCTGTTTCCCTTCCCCATCAGCACTCGATTGATCGTTTTCACAGTGACTCGTAGGTGTGCCGTGGTCACTCCGAAAAGGGAAGTTCTTCTCTGCAGCAGCAGTTCGCAAATTCTCCCACTGAGGCTTCGGTTAGGTCGGTTTGCCTTTCCTGGAGAGGGCAGCTGGTAGACGTGGCTCCACTCACGGGCACAGTCTTGTGGCCTTCCTCACTGTCCTCTCTCCCCGTGTGCTGCAGAGGAAGGTGGCGGGTTGTGAATCCTCTGATCTCAGGGTCAGAGGGGAGGCGCTGCAGCACTGTTTTCCAGCAGCTTCTCCCCTGCATCCTGGGCCTCATTTGCCACGTGGCTCATCTCCTCCTTCCCTGCCCTCCCCTCCAGGCCTACATTCAGATCACGTTTGTGGAGCCCTACTTTGATGAGTATGAGATGAAAGACAGGGTAACCTATTTTGAGAAGAATTTCAACCTGCGGAGGTTCATGTACACAACGCCCTTTACTCTGGAGGGGCGGCCCCGGGGGGAGCTGCACGAACAGTACCGCAGGAACACCGTGCTCTCCACCATGCATGCCTTCCCCTACATCAAGACCAGGATCAGCGTCGTCCAGAAGGAGGAGGTAATGGCCCAGAGGGAGAGGGGTACTGGGTGCAACACCAGACCTCTCCGTCGTAACCTGAAAGAGCTGGTGGGAGAGCTGAGTGGTAGAGGCGCTGCGTAGAATGCGTGACTTCTGGGTTCTCTGAGCACTGTCAGAGAGGGAGGCAGAGACAGAGACAGAGGGACTTACAGTGTTATCACAGAGCTGTCCTCTTGTTCTTTGGTGCCAGGGAATCTCATTTAAGCAGCTGCCTGTATGCTTTATAAAATACCATTTCATCTTAAATATTTAACACTTTAAAGTTACAGCTCTAGTATAAATGTTTACATATTTAATTTTAATACTTTTTTCCTCTTTTTTAAGTGTGTGTGTGTGGCTTTAGGGATCGAACCCTAGGTCTCATGCAAGCTCTGTACTACATCCCCAGCCTTTTTTCTTACTTTTGAGACTCATTTTCACTAAGTTGCCCAGGCTGGGCTTGAACTTGTGATCCTGCTGCCTCAGCCTCCTGAGTCACTGAAATCATAGGCGTATACCACCATGCCCAGCTTTTTTTCCATGTTAATTATAAACTTACGTAAAATGTATGTGTAGTTGGCCCTCTGTGTCCTCAGGTTCACAACCATGGAGTCAGCTAGGTATTGAAATATTTGGAGAAAAAACTGCATCTGTACTAAGTATATATGAACCTCTTTCTTCTTGTTGAAATTCCCTAAACAACCCAGTGTAACAGCTATCTACACAACACTTGCAGTCTGCTAGATATTATAAGTAGTCTAGAGATGATTTAAAGTATAAAGGATGTGCAGATACTATACCACTTATATAAAGGACTTGAGCCCCCTCAGATTTTGATATTTGTGGTAGGATCCTGGTAGATATTTTATATTAAAATTTTGCATATCTAAAAGCTTACTGGCAATGCAGGCATTGTTAGGCTTTTAATTACCAGTGACAGGAGGCGCACAGAAGCAGCCCCACTGGGGTGGTGGTATGAGCTAGAGAAGTAGACCATCGAAATCTAGTTCCAGCTCCCTCCTGTGACCCAACACAAGCCCCTGTCTCCCATTTCTTCTTCTCTGTGCAGTCAGGAAAGGCCTCTATGACTTTTAGCCCATTTTAATAGCACTGATCAAGAAAGTCTCTCAAACCACAGCATCACTCAAAATTATACATGTCATAAACACTTTTCTTTAAAACACCCACTATGCCGCTTGTACAGGGCTGTAGCCTTCTCTGCAGTTATAGGTTTCTGATCACAACTCACCATTGTCTTTCTTGTACAAACCTCAACCATAGTGCATCGTCCACAGTTTTCAGTTGTGCTTTCTGTAAAGACAAATGAGACCCTAAAGATCCTTGTTAGACAATATGAGAAGAGCGGACTTTTGGGTTTTTATAATCCACCCTTTCCCCGGCTGTGTACAGTTGTCTTGCACACAACTAATGTGAGAGGCATTTTTATAGCAACTCACTTTCATCATGTCTTGCCCAAACATTCAGCCTGGTTTTCATAGAAACAACTTTTTTCTCTCCACACCCATAATTCAGCTGTTTGTACATGATTTAATTAGACTAGGACATTAAAATAACAAGTATAACAGGCATAATCAAGTTGGTGAGCAAGCGGATGGTTTTTTAAAGTCCACTTCATTGAGCAGGAGGAGAGGGGTGTCTGAGTGAGACAGTAGACTGGGGACAGGACTCACAGAGGGCAAAGAGAGCCTGCTGTGGGCTTGGTCCCTAGGAGGTTGGTATAAATGGCATATGCTGTGTTTCTTATAATTTTGGACTTGTGAGTGCTAGAACATTCTAGGTACAGTGCAGAAACAAACTCACCTTCCCAAAAGTATTTTTATCACTTCTTTTAGCCAGGTTTACAGTGGTGCCTTAGTTCACAAACTTCAATCTTCCCAAGATTCTAGTCACAAACTGAATTGGACAAGAAATGAATCAAATTTCCCCATTCTGTTAATACTGAATCTAACCATTAAATTTGATTCAGTTCTTGTCCAATTTAGTTTGCAACCAGAATCATGGAAAGAATTAAGTTTGTGAACTGAGGTACCACTGTAATTGCCCAGTAACTAAGCATATTCCCTGTTTGGACATCATAACGAGTACTACAGATAGGATGCCTTACACAATGAGAAAGTACTGTCACACAGT